GGGAAGGGGAAAGGGAAGGGGAAAGGGAAGGGGAAGGAGAAAGGAAGGGGAAAGGGAAGGGGAAGGGGAAGAAAAAGGGAAGGAGAAGGGGAAGGGGAAGGAAAAAGGGAAGGGAAAGAAGGAGAAAGGGAAGAAGAAAGGGAGAGGGGAAGAGGAAAGGAGCAGCACCCCCAGCCTGAGGGTGAGCAGGGCTCCCTGCTGGGGTGAAGGAGAGTTTTGGGGATCCCCATCCCAGCATCCAGGAGTGTGGTGGGTGCAGGGTACTGAGTGGTGCCCATGGTTCCCCACAGCACCAACGTCACCTCATCCCTACCCACAGGGCAAGAGGAAAAGAATAACAATCCAAAACCAGAAGAAAATCCAGACAAAATTGTAGCAGCAATTTCCCAATTTATTGAAACTGATTGATTTTTGCAGGTATGTCTAAGCTAAATCCCATCACAAAGGTTCTATCCGAGGGCAGCCCCGGCAGGCGAGGGACCAGGCAGCAACTAGGAAATGAAATCAGATTTACCTGAACTACATCGACAGAAAATCAGTACAACACAGCATGGTCTCCCACTGACCTCTGGTTACAAAATCTCCTCAGCCTCCCCAAAATATTAAACACATCTTCAATACAAACACAGGTTTATAATAATTAATATAAAGTCAGTATAATATAGAATATTCCCAGCAAAAAAAAAAATCAACAATCTTCAAACACTTTCTGTGTTTGTTCAGCTTTATTTCTTTTTGTAGACAGGTTTAAAGCACGTTGAAAATAAATATATATGAAAGCATACACACAGCACTCAGACTAGGGGGCCTAGAAAAAAAAAAGGCAGAAATTCCAAACACAATTCAGGATCTACAAAACCAAAGGAACCATTAATTATGGCTTTCATAGGAGTCGCACGTGTCACAGAGTGAGTGAAAATTAGATTATCTTTCAGAATATTGCAAAAAATTCCAGTTTTTGCATTGTTTTCGTGGAGTTTCTTTCCTCGGGGTGATGTGCAAAAGGGGGAGCATCAAGGAGGGGGTGGCTCAGGGCCAGGGATGGAACCATCAGTCCCAAAACACAGCCCAAAGCCACAGGGCATCACTTTGGGAAAGAGGAGTGTTTAAAGGCAGGAGTGTGGGGAAGAAATCAAAGGGGAGGGAATGCTGGAGCAGGTTTCCTTCTGTACAAAAAATATTTGTTGTCTAAAACGCTGATTTTTGATATTTTTTTTTAAAAAAACAAACCCAAAACCCAAAGGGAAAGGAAGAGTCACTTTGCAAACCTTCACTGGGGACATCCCCCTCTGCCTCCTCACAGTCACTGTGAGGCTCTGGGGTCACCTCAAAACACACAAAACTGGTTTTAAATAACATTTTTGGAAAGCCCAAACTGACAGGACCTCGTTTGTCTCCACCCTTCAAGATATTCTCCAAGACCATGTACCCCCAGGATGTTTCATGGGCAGGATGATGCTCTCAGCCTGTTCCACACTGGGGCTAAAGGCTCTGTACTCCTGGCACTCAGGCAGAAAATAAAAACTGAGGATAATCAAGGAATCCAAGGAGGAACATTTACAAGTGTGTACGAATGCTTATAAAAATGAGCTGCAAGTTCTCTACACTGAGTGTATCCATGTTTTACCTCTAAGGGAGTTATTGTCCTGAAACTAACTCTGTATATATATATACACACACACACACACATATATATATATATATTTAGAAAAACTTAAAAAAAGGGAACCTCAGTGAAGTATACAAAGCCCTGAAGGGAAATACAAAGACAAGATGCAGACCAGGCAGAATTAGTGAGGGTTTGTTTAAATCTCCAAGAGCAGAAGTTTGCATAGGCAGTAGATCCGAGAGCTCCCAGAGAGAAGCTGGAGGGATGTGATCACCTGAAGTGAGCAGTGAAGTTTATAAAGTTTCAGCATCAAAAAGAAAGCCGAAATTCCTGGGTTTGAGCCCAAGTCGAAGCATGGAAGGTTAAGGACGAACTCCTGCATTTCCCACTCTGCACTCTGTCACAACAAAGCACTTCCACAGGCAGGAGGCGACAGAAGGGCTGAGTTGGTACGTGGTGCGTGTTGGTAGGAGAGCAGCACACAAGAGGTCACAACAGTAACACGGGACAAGTTAGTTTTCATGTGGATTTTCCATTTTCTCTCCCCCCCCTTTTTTTTTTTCTTTATCTTTTGCATCCTCAGCTCAAATTGCCTCAAAAAGTGGCCCAATCCAGACACACTCCTGCACACTGCCTGAATCCCTGCCCATCCTTCCAAAAAATAGAGAAAGAAACTATTTCCAAAGGAATTGTGAAGCTCAGCACCCCAAAACTGATCACAAACTCAAGTCATCCAAAGGGAAGGAGGAGGAGGTGAAGGAGGAGGAGGACTCAGCCCACACCTGCTCCTCCTGGGAGGGTGGATGCACACACTGGTGTTGGAATGTCACACAAACCCAGGGCTTGGAACTGTTTGGGTCTTAAAATTAATTTTTAAAATAGATTTGTACATGTTAAAAAAAGCAAAGCTACAGAAAAAAACCTTTAAGTACTGTATGTATTTGTCTACACCTAAGGGGTGAGGCTGCACCTGCAGGAGCTCAGGCACCCCCTCCGTATTTACAGGGTAAAAATGGTAATAAATACAGAGCCCAAACTCCAAGGGGCAAAAATTGGGGTAAGGGAACAGCTCCCTCGCTCTGGGACCCCCCAAAAGTGATGGGAAAAGGTATATAAAGGTCCAACCGTGACATACTAGGTGGGGTTTTACAGCTTTTAAAACAGGGGAGGAGAAGGAAAAGCAGCTAAAATGCAAAATGAGATTTTTACAGGTTAATAAACGTATCTGCATGATCTGCTCTGCTCTTCCCCCATTGAAAGAAGAGTTATCCATGATCACTGGCTAAAACAAGTCCCACTAACTCCTCCAAGCCCAAGGAGCAGCAGCAGTGATGCTGGTGTGACCTCATTAAGCCACACAGAGGATTTTAGGAAAGATCCATGTTCCCACATCACTGATGCAGCTCCAAACCGACCAAGCAGGAGCCTGGGAGCTGCCAGAGGTGGAGAGACGGGCAGTGTGGACCAGGATGATGGATGTAGAGAGAAGGTGGTGAAATGTCTGCTAGGAACTGAGGAGCAGAGAGAGGGATTGAATGCCATATAAACCCAGGATGCAACTGGAAACAGGGAATGAATAGAGAACCAGCTCCTGCAGGTGCCAGGATCGAGGCTCCCACTGCACTCTGCCAAATCCTGGCACAGAGTGGCTTAAATCCTTCAGATTATTTGCTTTACAGGGGTTTATTGTACAATATACTTTTAATTCCTTTGCTGGGTGGAACCAGGCTTTTCCTTACAGACCACCAGGCCTGCAGGAACACTCTGCCCACGGGGAGGAAAATAGCACCTTGAGTCATTTGGCTTCTGGCAATGGGTTGTCTTTTGTGGCAGGTTTCAAGGTACCACCGTGACAGCCATCGTAGAACATCGCTCGATGGCAAGGAAGGAGTGAGGTCTTCAGCTTTTTGGTGATTTAAAAAGCACCAGAAGCAAAGAGGTGAAGGTGGAACAAAACTGCTGCTTAGGAACAAGACACTTCCAACACACGATGATGATGATGTTGTTGTTGCTGTTGTTTAGGTGTAGCTGGAAGAAGGCAACAGTGGCCGATATGAACAGGGAAAATCCAACTACCTGGAGCAGCCCCACAGAGTCTGAGGAGACACTGGGAGAGAAACCTGGCTCTTATTTCAAGAAAAAATGGTTTACTGGATCATTTAGACGGAACCAGCACAGCTAAAGCTGAAGGTTTTTGCCATGAACTAAGTGGATGTTACACCTACCAGTGATCAACAAGGATGTTCAGATTGGCAAGGAAGAACAAGGTACCCAGGTGAAATCCTGGTCCCACCAAAGTCCATGGGATGGGAGCAGCAACATTCCACCCCGCTGGGATCTCCTTGCTTTGGCTTCTTGCCTTTCCCAGCTCATCCTGCACTTCACCAAATGCCTCGATTTCACTATGGTTTGCATATATTTATGAAAAAGGCAGCTGAGCAAGGGGGAAATGTGAAGGTATTTGTAGAGAAGAAAAACAGGTAGAGAACATCACGTGTTCTCTAGAGCCAAAGGTGCTTCTGGAAGCACCAACACATGTTTCAGCGCCTGTGGATAACCAAGGCTGGAAGACAGGATGTGGGTAAGATGCCAGTAGGTCCAAGAAAAGTTATGGTGATTCTTTTGGAAGCTAAGAACCTCAGAGAAAGTATTCGTAAGGCTGTAATCTGACTTGCCTTTTGATCTATTTGGCTCCATAAAAAATAATAAAAACTCTTTAAATAACTTTGCAGAAGGCCTGTATGTACATCAAGGGAACCCTCCAACACATCCATCCACCTGCTGTCACAACATTAGCTTGGAATTCCACTGCTGCTGGGATTTTAGCACAGACAAGGTGTGAAAAAAACCCCAACCAACCAACAAACCTGCTCTGGACACAAAACTCTCCCCAGTGCTCAGCTCAGGGTGGGAAGGGGAGGAGGACTCACGCTTCACTCAGCCTCCTCACACCTGCAGAAATTCCACCTCCTTCACATGCAGCCTGGCTGGCTCTGCTGGAGGGATGGCCACGGGTGGAGGCTCACCAGGGGAGAAGGGAGAAGGGGATGGAGGAAGAGGGAAGGGGGAAGGCGAAGTCAGTTGTGCCGCTGGAAGCGACACTGCTAAGACAGTGTCTGAGTGGAACAGAGAAGGACTTGTTTAGAAAACACAAGAGTTATTTCGCACACATGGACGACAACAAGGCTACTTAGTTTTTCCAACATACTCCTTCCTCCCCACCCTCCCTCCCCCTACAAACAACAGAGCGAAACAAAAACCAAACAAAAAAATAATCCCTAAGAAATCCAGGTAAAATCCTTGTCGTTCTCCCCAGAGTTGTCCTGCTCCTGCGGGGAGTCGACATCTTTGTCATCATCTAAAATCACATCATCTTGTGACATGCCCACGTCGTCCTTCCACTTGATGTCGTCGTCGTCTCCCATCTCCTCGTCTCCTTCCACTTTGATGTCATCTGGGTCTTCCATGTACTGCCCCTCCCCGGGGTAGCACTCCTCAGGAGACCCTTCTCCCCCGTTGTGGTCCAGGTGTCCGGCGATGCCTCGGCCGGAGCAGTCGGCACAGACGCCGTGGCGGCGCGAGCCGTGCTTGATCCCCACGCTGGCTGCAGACATGAACACTCGGTTGCACACCTTGCAGACGTATTTTTTATCTTTGCTATGGACCTGGAGAAGGAGAATGATCAGAGAGGTTAATGCCAGTGGAGATGGAATGAGAGCTGCAGGGAAGGACACGTCCCCACGTGCTCTGCGAAGGCAAATCCATGACTGCAACCTCAGCTCATAACCACCTTCCGCTGTGAACTCAAACCCACCACGATGAATTCAACCCTGCAAAGGTGACATACAATGGGAAATCCTTTGGGACAGCCTATTTATCATCATGTAGTTCTGAGAGGAACTTCTATCACTTCATTTTTTCTTCCCTCCCTTTTTCTTTGTTTTTCTGGGGTGTAACAGTAGCATCACACTGCTGGTGTGATGAGGACAGCCACAGGGAATATCTTAAACAGGAAAATCCCCAACCCTGAGCACCAGTTCTGTGCAGACCAGAGCAGAACAACCCTGACCAAACCAGTGTTAATGTCATGAAGATTTAGTGGTTTCCCTCCTGATCCCACTGCTGCCTAGCACCAAAGAGCAGGAGCACTGAGAATGCAAACTGAATCTCCCCCAAAAATGCAACTGGCTGCACTTCTGACCTTATTTCTGACTACTTTGGTTTGTCACAACTGTTTCTGTTCCTAACTCATGGTGCACTCTATGTCCAAGAACCCCAGGCATATGGGATATCACAGAATACAAGGCAAGTGGGGAAAATGCTCTGCAGGATACCAGAAAGCACACGAAGAGTCAAACTGCACTTCTCAGTGAGCTAAATTATATACTCTGAGAAGCACAAAACACCTAGTGCAAGGTGAAATCTGTCCCTGGACACTTGCCCTGTGTGGAAGGCAACAAGTTTGCTCAAACCACTCACTTACTTCTCTGCCAGTGGAAATCAGTGCAGTGATAACTCCTGAATTCCACCACAAGGAGCCTCATCAAGTGCTTTCATTTATACATACATGTCTGTATGTAAAAATACATATTAATTTTACTTATATAGAGAATAATTCAGTCAGAAGGGACCTAGGACAACCATCTAGTCTGTCTGACAACTTCAGGGCTGACCGATATTTATTATAGATACATGTTTTTCTTTTTTAATACATATATATTTTTTTTATGCTCTTATACATTAACACCACATGGGGACAGCCCAGGCACTCCCTTGGCCAATGCCCTGGGGCTGGCACTGGTCCTCAGGAGACACTTCGGGAAGTGGTGTAGAAGCAGAGAAGGATGCAGTGGGCAGTGATCTGGGGTGATCCTGAGCAGCCCATCAGCTACCAGAGCCTCAGGGCAGGGATCAGCAGTCCTTAATCCCTTCTTAACTCACTTCTTCTTTTCATGCTCACAACAGCCTGTGGGAAAGGTTTTGCTGGTTAAAGTCCTTCCTTTTATTTTAAAGCAGCTGCCTGGAGGCCAACTCCCTGCTCCTGCCTCAGCATGGGATCAGTGCCTCTCACAACCTGATTCCCCTGCACTCTGGAATACTCAGCTGAGCTAGAGCTATTTGGGAAGAGCACAAATTGACCCATGGTAGCCCATCAGCCCTGGCTACCACAGGACACAGGCTCAGGCTTTGTGTTACACTGGTCCCAGCTGTGTTCAAAGCCTGCAAGTGCCTTAATGTGCTCTGGCTGCAGGTTCCCCTGCTCTGAGCTAGTCCCCACGACATTCTTCTACTGCATCAAGCAAAGGCATTGGATTTTATTACTTTTTTGCCAAAAAGCAGTTGGACAGGGCTGGTCAGAGTCATCCAGCAGAATCTATAGGCATCACTCACTTTTAACTTGTAGATGAATGATTTTCAGGCATTAAAAGCTGAATAGGAGAACAGAAGGTGGTCAGGGGAGCAGAATAAGGGCTCAAAGAGCCACCAAAAAGAAAGAGCTTTAAAACAAGTACTAAAGCAATTTGTCGTTATCACAGAATCACAGAATGGTTTGTGTTGGAAGGGACCTTAACACCTAGTTCCAACCCCCTGCCATGGGCAGGGACACCTTCCACTAGAGCAGGTTGCATATCTGTTAAAAAACTCATCACCTCTCTCCCTCCTTTCCAACACTGACACTTCAGTCAGTAGGTTCAAAGGGAAACACATATTCCTGCATGCTGCTGAACAGAAATTCATCTAACTTCCCTTATTGCCAAATTACTTAAGTATCAAACACAGAAACATCATTTGGCCCTCAGTGTTGGACAATGCCATTAGAAAGATGCTGTTCTAACTGACTAAATGCCAGTATTCCAAGGAAGAGAGCAGGAATTGTGCTGACAACATCCTACATTTATGAAAAAAAGGGTTTAAAAAGGGTGAAGTTCTCAGAAATAAAATGCTAGCTGGCATGACAAGGTGTTCCCCTCCTGCAAAACCAGTGACAGATCTGGAAACCTGTGTGCTTGCAGCAGGACTGAGCTCACACTTGGATCTGCCTCCGGAACACCAGAGCCCAACGCCCCAAGGAAATCAGGAAGGGACATCTTGGGGAGCAGGCAGTCCCCTGAGCAGATGGCTGGGCACTCATCCGAACGGACCAGCACATGGAAGGCAGGGAAGGACATGGTGGGGGGTTGAGCACCATGGCAAACCATCATGCAAGCCCCAGATGCTCTTGGTGTGGGGTCCAGGGCTCACCCCAGGGCCTGGACATCACCACTGGGCAGCTGTGCCTGCTGCCAGCACCTGAGATAACTACCTACAGACTACCTGCTCCTCCACCACAGCACCTCTACACCAAGCTTTGAGAAACTCTTTAGGATGGTGAAATAATTCTAACCCAAATAGAAGAAAAAATCCAAGTTTGGCTTAAAATCCTGTTCCTGAAGAAGCTGTGTAAAGACAAACCAGTGGCAGCCTCAGTCAGAGCTGAGCAGCTGTCTCTAATAAGGTGTAACAGGATTTTTGATAACTAAGCATGGCCAGGCCAGAGTAGCTTTGCCTTGAATTCTTGCTGAGTGATGTATTTTAAAGCTCTCTGAACCGAGTCATAGAATTATAGAATTGTTAAGGTTGGGAAAGCTCTCCAAGACCATCAAGTCCAATCATTCCTCCAGCACTGCCAAGGCCACCGCTAAACCATGTCCCCAGGTGACACATCTCCACGTCTGTTAAACCCCTCCAGGGATGGTGACTCCACCACTGCCCTGGGCAGCTGTGCCAGGGATTGACAACCCTTTCAATGAAGAATTTTTTCCTAATATCCAGACTTCCCCTATTAAATAGAAAAAAAGTCCTTTTCCATCTCCAGGACAGCGCTGAGTATTTTCCTTTCCGTCCCAGGCAGCACTGGGTGGGAAGGGGAAGAACCCAGCTGGGCTGCCAGGCTGCTCCAGCCCCTCAGTGTGGGCACTGCTGACAGCTCTGAGCTGCCACTTGGGAACCCTCCGGCTGAGCTCAGCGAGCAGGGGGAGGTTAGCTCTGGATGAACAGGCAGCCAACCACAAGACCTCTGAAAGACAGGGAAAAAAGATGCAGGAGAAGCCTTCAGAGGAGCCCTGGGGGGGAAACAAAATCCAGACCTAAATCAGGTGATGCTCCTGCTGTCTTTACCCAGAACAAATGGGCTGATTCCCCCAGTCCCTTCCTTACCAGAGTGTGTCGCTTCATGTGCTCCCGGCGGGTGAACTTCTTCCCACAGATCTCGCAGGGATAGGGCCTTTCTCCCGTGTGGGATCGCATGTGTCTCTTCAGGATGCACTGATGCATGGCTGAGAAGCTGCAGTATGGGCACTTGAATTTCTTCCTGATGACTGTGAACTCGTTGACTGCAAGAGAGCAAGCAGAACACACAGATTCATCTCAGAGTGTCTCAAAACAGTTCAGTCTTCTCAGTGACTACTTCACTGTTCTGTTCACTGTGAAATCATACTCTCACCCCTTAACTATCTACAATATTTTTGATCCATAACTGTCTTATTACACTTATATTATTCAAGCTAAGAAGTCGGGGACCTTCATCAGAGAAGCTTTTGAACGAGCCAACACAAACATTCAGCGACAGCCTGTAATGGACATTGCTCAATGCTTGCTGAAGGGCAGATATAGAGGGCTGGCAATCTGCTGTGGTTCTGATTTCTTGCCATGAACTATCCTAAGCATCAGTATCTGAAACTCAAACACTATTCCTTGTGGAAGAAACAGGCAGCCAGGAACAGAAGTCCCCAAAGGTAACACCCCCACAGCACCATGTGCTTTAGCACATCATCACACCCCCCAAGAGCATTTTGGTGAAGAAGCAGAGACTGAGGATGAGACAGTTACAGCCACCATTCCCTACATTATCCAACTCCAGTTCCTCCTGCAAACAGCCACAAAACACAGCAGGTGAAGACAGAATATTCGCTGCTCCCCGAGGACATCCACCCACTACAAGTCTGGAAGTGACTGTCCATGTGGAGAGGATCTGAAATCTCCAGCTTCTCCTTATTCTATTGCTTCCCATTAGTATGTTAATTTTCACCTACTTTTCTCCTAATTATTGTTATTTCTCAAAGCAATATATTTACATAACAAGGAAAGGAAAAAAAAACAAAGCAAGTTCTGGTTAATCACCGTAACTGCCTTATGTGTATATAAATGGCTCTTGGGGAATAGAACAGTCTATGGGGAGAGCTGAGGAAATGGGGAATACCAGACCTACTACCTGGCTCCTAACAGACCCAGTACTCAGCAATATTTTTGATGCTTATTGAAGTGTTACCACCTAAAAAGGCCCTACTAGGTGGATGTGCAGTGCATGTCCTCAGCACATCACAGGTGATGCCCTGGAGCTACACAGTACACTGAAAAGTGGCTTTTTAAAAGAAAATCAGTAGGTCCCTGCAGTCAGGGTAATTTCATGCCCAATATGTGGGCTGGTTTTTTTCCTCTGCTTTTCAAAATTACTTTGTCTTGTATTTCTATACAGGTAAAACAACAGGAAAGGTAACTACAATTGTCACTCAGGCAGAAGTGCAAACCACCTGACACTATTAAGAGACACCTTTAAAAGAGGTAACAGGTCCTGTGTAATCAGAACAAACATTTCACACCAGCTCAACTTGGGAAAAGTATTCTAACAAGTTTTGTATTGTTCTAACAGACACTAAAAGCATGGGTCAAGATCTGGGTCAAGATCATCAAAAATTGCCACGATATGAAGTTTACCTCAGCTTTTGACTACTCAGAATTAAACACACCCTTCACACAGGTAACTTCGTGGAAGAAAAACTTCCTTTGACTGTCAATTTGCATTGGATCTAATTCCATTCTGTTTTTGGGCTCCTAACTCACTGCCCTGGGCTGCTCAGCACCTGGGGAGGTCCATTCCACAGTTGCTTGTTTTTTTGGGTGGTTTGATGCTTTTTCAGCACAACATTTGTAAAGCTGTCAAGAGAATTTTCTAGCCCAAAGGGCCAAAAAAAAGCACCTCCTCACCTGGGTCATGGCTGCAACACTGACACCAGGGAAAGCCAACACACTAAGGGACATTTTATTCACCTCTCAGTAGATCTCACCACGGTGATGGGGCAGAGTGTGCCAGTGACTCTGCTCTTGCTTTGCTTTGGGAACCTCCTGAAGGAGATACCTGAGCATGGCCTCATGTCCAGAGCCCTGTGCAAGCTCTGGGTGGTGACCTCACCACTGTCCCATCTCCTACCCTACACTGATCTTCTGGTTTACAGTATTTTAACAACCGAACCACGACAACTCTTTTATATTACAGGAAGATAATCTTTTGCTTTATTTTCTCCTCTGGATTTGACACTCCCTCATCTATGCACTCAGAGGCAAGGAGCCCACGTTTTCCTGAAGCAAACAGCAATTTTATGATACAAAGCTACTTATGATAAGTATGTTTCTGGTCTGATCTTGTAACCACTTGACTATTAGCAACAGGCCACACACACACACTTCTAACAGCTGTTACCATGGAGTCCAGACAAGGTAAGCAAGCTGTAAGCTGAGCACAGGGAGTCAACAGGGGACATGAACCCTCCTTCCTTCAGCCCAAGGCCACGTCCAGTCCTGCTCACACCACCACAGCCCCCAGCACAGGCTGCTCAGCAAGCTGGGCTGAACCACTGGAAAACACTGACACAGAGATCCTAACAGAAAGCAGACCCCAGGATTGGGAAGCAAAAGTGCTTTAGAGAGAGAATACCACAAAAATCCCTTATTTCCTACATCACCAGGTTGTACCAGACCTGTCATTTCCCAAGTGACTGGATGCCTGCTCCCATTTCCTGCACCTCTCCCTGCACTCCATGGCTGAAAAGGCAACACCCAAGCTCAGGTGCATGACCTGCACCCCAGCACACTCCTCCACACACCAACAGCCACCTGCTTCCAACATATCCATGGATTTCCAACAGCACATTCCTAACACTGTCCAATTCCAAGATCCTTCATGCTTTTGCCTGCATTCAGCTTAAACCAGTCAAGAACAACATTTTCACCTTCTAGTAAGCTTATATTTAAAAACAGTCACAGAACACTGTTTGCAGCTGCAGTTTTATTAGAAACTCTTTTTTTCACCAAGTAGTCATATATTTAGTTCTCGTATCTACAAAAGGAACACCTGAGAAACAGCAGCATTGTCAGAAAAATAACTGTATTGCAGAGTCAACATCTTCACAGTCCTGTCAAATATAAGCACCCATAGTACATCTGTTTAATGCACAACATACCAGGAGTGGTATGAGCATCACCTTTTGTCTAAATGACAATATTTTAGAGAGCTTATAGATAGCAGCATTAAGGTCCTAAGAAGTCATCTTTAACAAGATCATCAAGAAGATCAGCATCACCATAGGTAAGGAGCTGCTGGACACAGCTATAGGAAAAACAGCACCAGGAAACTGAGAAGGAAATACAAACAGACCCACAGGAATTAACGTCACTGAAGTATTTATGGAAATGTGTGTTTTTAAAACCAACAAAAGATGCTTGGGAAAAAACCTTTGGTATTGTCATTTCAAGTAACATGACTTATTTCACTGAGGCTGTTAGAAAAACCAGGCTCTTACATCCCTGAGAGACAAGGAAAAGCACTAGTGATGCACTGCCTGGCAGAGCTGCACTGGATTAACTCTGTAAACTCATATCTAGTGAATAATCACCGGAGTGCTGCACTCCTTGGGTTATTATGAGGAATTCACCAATGTTAGGAGAATTCTTGTCCGCTTAACCCTCATTATACTGAAGGTTATAAATAGCAAAGTGCAATTTAACTGTCAGACTCACACTTCCCATCATCCTCCCATGCCATTTCCTACCACAAACCCTGCTTTGAACACCTGTTCTACACAAACCCAGTAAGGCTCTGCTCTGCTACACCCCACAGTTCCAACAATTTGAAAAAGCTATTCCTAATCCTGAAGGGAAACACTGGAAATTCCCAGTGCTGAAGACAGGAAGGACTCTGATGCACAGGCCAAGGAAAATACCACTTAAACCTCTATTACAGAGAGCTGACTTGACTATAGAAAAAGAATTCCATGTTGAATTCAATTCTCAAATATGAGAAAAATGGACACACATCAAACATCATTAACTATTATCATAAACAAAGCTTTCTAGAAGTTGCTGAAATTACTCTTGCTGGCATTTTACTTTCCTGACTCACACAAATCCTACCCTGCTGCTCCCAAATTTCCAGATAAGATCCATTTGGTAACAACTTTGTCTTCTGGCTCAGCTTTCTCCTTCCTCACTTGCTGGTTATTTAAGAGCAAAGTAAATCATGAGGCAATTACTCTACATCTGTCACAAGGGAAGCTGACAGACGATAAACTACACACATTCGCAGACAGCAGAGATCCTCGACGCCAAGGATGTCAGTGGGAACAAGAGCGGAAAAAAATGAACATGACTTTGCAAAAACCATAAAATTTAAACCCAAGTGATTAAAGTTGGTGTACTGCACTGATTATATAGGAACTTATTCTCAATCCTGACTGCAGCCTTCTCAGTAACAACTAAGCCAAGCAGGGAAACTCCAGTTTCCCAGCACTGGCATGGCTCAGAGCTGTCTCTCTGAAGCTCCAGCTTGCAGCAGGAACAGGCAGAGCAGTGCTGCACCACCACACACACCTGTTCCCTCTCCACAAGCCCAAGGGCAGCAGGAACTGATGGTCCCTCCTCTAGCTTTCCACAGGTAACAGCTCTGGAAGAAACTCCCCACTGCAGTCTCCAGGCTGCTCAAGTCCACTTCGTGCACAACTAAATATTTCTGATTTTTGTCTCCCTGAGATGCAACAGTATTATGAGAAAGAGCTTTCCTGAAGAACTCTAAATTGTAGAAGTTGTTTTTTCCCTTCTCAGCTGTCTCTCACCCACTGAGGACAGCAACCCCACGCACTGACAAGCTGTGCTGCACGCAGAGCAGCTGGGAACCACTGCACTTAATTATGCTACTTTCATTTCCCAGTCACCATGATCTGGTTTTGCATGTAAATATATATAGAGAGACATAGAAATATTTAATCTTTCAAAGAATAATTTCATAGAATAGAAATTACAGCAAGATTTCTACCCACCAGGTACAGCTATTACTGATTCTGTATGTGCACCTGAAGTGACAATTAGATCTATGTAAACTCCTTGCTCTGCTTCACCACCAAACACCCAGCCTAACTTAATTACAGTATATAAAACAAATGAGTCACAAAACATTACAGAATTCCTTAAAACCACAGCCACACTCCAGGATGATTTAAACAAACGTCCTAGAAGTACTCACACACAATATCAATAAAATACAGAAGCCTTGCAACAGCTTTCA